GACCGGGGGTGGCTGTTTCTCACCGTGTTAAAGGTTACATCTCGCCCCCTCAGGCAGGAGGGGAGGGGGAGGGAGTAGGTCGAGCTAGGCCTCGGCGCCGAGCCCAGCCCGATAGCCGTATCGCGACAGCCCCAACACGCTGAGGTAAATCCTGGCAGCTGCGGGCCGTGTGTCAGCCTGAGCAGGGGCTTGGCGCCTGTGCGGGTTGAGGAGCGCCTTTATCCGCAGGAGGAAACGCAAATGGCTTCCTAGAGGGCGAACGATGCCCCTGGAAATTTCACGGCTTTGCTGCAAATTAGGAACCACTGGGATTCAAAGAAAAAAAAATCACAATCTATAGTCATCTCAAGTGCAAATACCTTGTTGTTTGGGAGTTACTCTCCTGTATTAAGGCTGGAAGCAAGCAGTGTTACACTTTGTTGCCTTCTGGACTGTAGAAGCTTTCAAACAGGCAGAAATGGGGAACGCAGTGGGAAGTCACCACACCGGCTCTCACTAACGCAACTACCCCCTTCATAAAACACTGTTCTCGCTGCTGTGACTTTGTGTGCTTCATAGAAATGCTTTAAAATTCTTCCTGTGCTTCCCTTCCCCCCTTTCAATTTAAAAATCCCCCAACAGCAATGCAGACTTCTCAGGCTGCTGGGATTAGCAGCCTGCTGTTATAGCTGAAATTATAGATTCAACTGGCATAAGGAATACTGCTTAAGTGCACTATCCCGTTCACAGGCGTGTTGTGAGATCCGATAACCTGTGTGAAATGTCCCTCGTCGCTCAGGGGAGGGCAGCATCTTCTAAATAATCGTGGCTGTCAAACCCTTCCTTGGAACAGATGCAGCGATGTGGTCAGTGCCCTCTTGTGGAAAAGGTTTATCTTTTTAAAGTAGTTTAAAAATTAAGCTGGGAGGTGACCATTAGGGAATTCACTGGGGGTTGAGTGGTAAAACTGTGCCACTCTCACTGTACTGAGCTGAGCAGAGCTGCCCAGCATGGATGAGGCTTTGTCAGTACAGCTTAGTGTTTGGTTCTACAGAAAAAGTTCCATATCTGGACTCTGCACATGCAGCTGTGGTATTTCAAATTAACATCCTACTTCACAGTCTAAAATAACCTTAAAATGGAGACATCTCCTTATAAAGGGAAACACATCCGCTTCAGTCAAGGTGCTCCTTTCACATGAGTATAAATACAAACACGTTTGACCATTGGTCACTGCAGAACAAGTTGTATAATGAAACTTTTAACTTCCATTCTACAAAAAGAAATAAATCATTCACCAAAACACATTTTGGGTAAGTGACAGGACAAGTCTTAGGAGCTTGAAGTCCCTTTATGGCAAGTGGAGAGGAGATGAAGCCTGTCCCGGAGGCATGGCAGATCCCAGACACTATGAATCTCCACCTAAAATCACTTGCCTGTTCCCACTGCGTTCCCAGATTGGATGCATGAATTATGTGCCTTAAATTAGTGGAGATTAATTTGGGCCCAACTGCATAAAACTGGTAGGTGATGAGGACATTAACCTCGAGAAGCCCAGGGATGAAGATGGTGAGGTGAGGATGTCCCACGGGTTTCATGATAACGAGAAGATGGGTGAAATGGTCTTTCACAGGTGGTTTTGTTCTCTGTGAAACAGAGATTGTAACTTTTCGATTCCTCATGTGTTTGAAAGAGACTAAAAAGAGGAACGAGTTAGTTAAGAGGTACTTTAGGAGGTCGGTGCCGTCGCGTTGTGAGGGGCTTTTGTCAGTGTTTTTGCAGAAAAAGAAAACTAAACAAGTAAAATGTATTGGTTAGCTTATAGGAAGTGCTCTGCATGATTTCTGTGGGTGGTTGGAACATACTGAGATCTTACACAGAATGACTTTGCTTGTGAAGGGAACCGGTCTGGCAGGCTGTTACTGAGAGGAACCGGGGAGCCCTGTGTTGTACACAAATGCTTTCTCACCATTTAAAAACAAATGGTGCCTTCTGCTTCCCCCGCCTGTTTCCCTCGTTCCTGCATAGTTAGAGGGGATGGATGTCATCTGCTGTGACGGGACAGGATAAGCAAGTTGTAGGTAACGCCTGTGTACTTCATTATGCTTTGAAAGAGATGGGTTTCTCCGTGAAAGTGACTTTTCACAACAGGGGTTTCCCCCAGATGACTTCAGAATTAATCTATTCGGAAAAGTGATTTCTGGGACCTGAATTGCATGATGTGAGAGAAAACAGGACGTCTTCCAGGGAACTGAGAAAAAGACATTTCTACAAGCATGCTTGACCTGTCCAGTAACATGAGCTGTTTCAATGTTTCTGCAGCACTTTTGATAAATATTTAGTCTTATTTTCATCTCTTTATTTTCTCCTCCTCAACGGAAAGGAAGAACTTCATCAGTTGTATCCTTTTTGTACCTTTCTTGGCTCACACATGGGAATCTTCAGGAAGACTGGCTGAAATGCATTCGTATCTTCCTGCCTAATAAATCTGCACAATGTTCTTTTTGTGGGTTGAATTTTCCATCATCCGCACCATCCATATGAAGTCAAACTGGTAAAACATTTCTTCCAAGGGAAGATGTTTTGCAGCATTAGCTGGGGTTTTGCTGAGACTTTGCTCTCGCTGGCTCCCACTCATGCACAGACCCCATTAACCCACCCTGTGGCCTTGACCAAGGGCTGGCAGCCACGTTTTATGGTCGTGTAACTCTCATTTACTTAGGAAACAAGGCTAAAAATTGGATTTGTGGACTGATGAGCACAAGTCCTGTGCAGCACACCTCACAGAGAGCTGACAAGAGTAGTAGTAAAAGCAGCATTCAGTAGTACTTCCTCTTCTGTTAATTCACCCGACCTTAACTCCTGCCAAGATCTAAGCAGCCTCCTAAGAGCAGACACCCTTGGCTTCAGAGATTTCCATGCTTAGAACCTATCTAGTAATTTTTTGCTCCACCTTCCTCCAACTGGAAAAACACAAAAACCTGGTTCTGTTGTAATAAAATGAGCTGCTCTGGGAACTGGAATACATCCACCGCGTGTGGGTGGGTGCGCGCTCAGGTTCTGGACAGGCAGCTCCCATAAAGGTCCCCTGGGATGAAGTCCCTGCTTGGAGATATTTGGGATTTGAGCAATGCTGATGGAGAGAGGGGAGGATATAGAATATTTTGAGCATAGAAAGATGTGGAAATTATGAAATTTGCACTCATAACTTCCTTATATAGATTACTTTGTATTATTTAAAGCTAAGAAAGGCATTTGATAGCAGTTGGTTATCAGAAGTACATATGAACTGGGGGTGTTGGTGGGCAGCAGGATGACCATGAGCCAGCACTGTGCCCTTGTGGCCAAGAAGGCCAGCGCCATCCTGGGGTGTATCAGAAGGGCTGTGGTTGTAGGGCAGAGAGGTTCTCCTTCCCTTCTGCTCTGCCCTGGTGAGACCACATCTGGAATATTGTGTCCAGTTCTGGGCCCCTCAGTTCAAGAAGGACAGGAACTGCTGGAGAGAGTCCAGCGTAGGGCTACAAAGATGATGGAGGGAGTGGAGCATCTCCCTTATGAGGAGCAGCTGAGGGAGCTGGGGCTCTTTAGTTTGCAGAAGAGGAGACTGAGGGGAGACCTCATTCATGTTTATAAATATTTAAAGGGTGAGTGTCACGAGGATGGAGCCAGGCTCTTCTCGGTGACAAACAATGATAGGACAAGGGGTAACGGACACAAACTGGAACACAGGAGGTTCCACTTCAATTGGAGAAGAAACTTCTTCTCAGTGAGGGTGACAGAGCCCTGGCCCAGGCTGCCCAGAGAGGTTGTGGAGTCTCCTTCTCTGCAGACGTTCAAAACCCGCCTGGACGCCTTCCTGTGTAACCTCATCTGGGTGTTCCTGCTCCGGCAGGGGGATTGGACTGGATGAGCTTTGGAGGGCCCTTCCAATCCCTGATGTTCTGGGATTCTGTGATTCTGTGAATGGCCAAACTTCCTGGCTTCTCAGAGCCACATTCCAACTTCTCCATGTGGTGGTGAGACACCCTACGCATGTCTCCTATCCTGCATTAACACCGTGCTGCTGTGCCTCAAGAGCAAATGGTTCCCGCAGTCTGCAGGTACCTGCTTTACAGGAGTTGTGCCTGTCCGTGGAGGTGGGTGGGCTCTTGAGGACATTGACTGTGAGATGCCTCCTGTAAATCAGGATTTCAGCTCCTGTGCAGTCAGAGGGAGCCAGCACAGTTTCACCCAGGACAGCAGTTCATCCAGCCCTGTTCAGGAACCACTTAGTTGGGAAGGTGCTCATCTCCGCTGGCTCCAGAGGCGGCCCAGGCAACTCATCCAGACAGAACTTTGGGATGGATACAGGTGAGATGAACCTGTCCTGAGCCTGCAAGTCATTTCACCCTGTTTGTATGAGTGTGCACCACAGTCCCCGTCCTTCAGGGGCATTTTGAGGATGTATTGAGGACTGTGGAGCTCTCTTAATACCTTGGCAGTGGATCCACACAGACAGAGCTAAATGTATTACGCTACAACAGTTAGTTTTGTGAGCAGTGAATTAAGGAAGTCTCTGTTTCTTACAAATTTGCATCTCAAAGCTGAGCTCGTGGCCTTTCCCAGGTATCACACAGAATCACAGAATCACTCGGTTGGAAAAGCCCTCTGAGATCATCACGTCCAACCGTTCCTGTCTACCCCCTAAACCATATCCTTAAGTACCTCATCTACCCGCTCTTTAAACACATCCAGGGATGGTGACTCCACCACCTCCCTGGGCAGCCTGTTCCAGCTTCTGACGACCCTCTCAGTAAAGAACTTCCTCCTTAGCTCTAACCTGAACCTCCCTTGGCACAGCTTGGTGCCGTTTCCTCTTGTTCTATCCCCCATCACCTGGGAGAAGAGACCAGCACCCACCTCTCCACAACCTCCCTTGAGGCAGTTGTAGGTGGTGATGAGGTCTCCCCTCAGCCTTCTCTTCTCCAGGCTAAACAAGCCCAGTTCCCTCAGCCGCTCCTCATCAGGCTTGTTCTCCAGAGCCCTCCCCATCCTTGTGGCTCTTCTCTGAACACGCTCCAGAATCTCAACATCCTTCTGATAGTGAGGGGCCCAGAACTGAACACAGCACTCGAGGTGCGGCCTCACCAGTGCCGAGTACAGGGGGATAATCACCTCCCTGGACCTGCTGGTCACGCTGTTTTTAATACAGGCTAAGATGCCTGTATTAAAAACCTGTATTACCTGGTAGGTAACAGCCAGCACACAGCTCTCAAGACTTCCCATCATGCGGTCAGCACTAGGGCCCATCTGCTTCACAGAGCCGCCTGTTTTCAAAAACGTACAGGAATTTGACGTAGTAGAGTCTGCCAACCCTTTGTCAACGTGCTCAAGGCTGACTAACAGGTACAGAAATTGTTTGGGGAAACATACGCACCCCCTCATTTCCTTAGGCTGTCAAATACCCCACTACATACCACAAAGAAATTCTAAAAAGGAACTAAAGCCAAACGTCAAGCAGCAAGCTTTTATCCTAATGCCTGGTGTTTGCAGTATCAATTACTCTCTGAACCCCACCAGTGGGCCACTCAGTTGAACATTGAATATAAAAAGGCACAGCAGTGGATTTTGAGGTTACTGGGAAATGGCAATTTTATGAATAGACCCCACCTCATTGCTCTGGAAATCCTTAACAAGAGCTATCAGCTGTCATCCGTTCCTTTACAGTTTCTGTTTTACGTAAATGGGATTTATTACATCTTTTACTTCTTGGTGACTCTTGGAATGATTGTTTATAAAAGTAAGTTGCACACATTCTAACACAGAAGTAAGCTGTGTGCTTGTGACACCGGTGTGGGTTTTTGTTATGCCTACTGTGTTTTCCTTGCGTATTGACACTGTGTTATTCGACAGGTCAAGTTTTCAGTTATCCAGATGATTTTTTGGCTCCTGATCTTACATTGCTTTTCGTTATGGCCATTCTTGAAGTGCCCCGGCTCTACTTGGGTATGTCATGTTATCACTGTGCCTTTTGAGTGGAATATCATCTTTAAATCGTTCTTAAATGGAGTGTGCGTCAAAACCTGCTGGTTTAGCAGACTAGCAGATATTTCAAGACTTGTGCATTTATGTCATTAAACTTGATCTGACTGATCAATAGATTTGGCCAGAGGGTCAAATAAAATTTACTCTTATGTGAAATAGGTTCTGTAATGCCATTAAAAAAACAATAACTGGGTTGTCAGAAAGCAACATAACTGGGCCAGCTGGAATGGTGCTCACAAGTGAGCATGACTTGTGAGAAGGAACATGCTGAAACGCAGAGATCCTCCTTCACTGAGGCAACACAGCTCCTTTCAACTGCCGCAGCGACTCACACCGTAACCCAACGCCAGAGCCGTGTGGAGCGGGTGATGCTAAGGCCAGTTCCAACACCTTCATTTCACTAAGAGAGAACAGCACAAAGAGCCTCCTGCTCCCTGTCTAGAGCTTGCTGAAACTTCATGAAGTCCTTTCTTTAAAAAAAAACCAAGTTAGTATTAAAATCTGTGCTGGATATTTTAAAGACATTTATGCCAGGTGGGGCTGTTGAATACAGCTGACTTGCTGTGGGGGTGAATTTAGCCTGCTGCCTTGAAGCTCTCTGCGTATCTTTGCTTGGAGCCTGGTGGATGAATAAAAAAGTGAGTTTCAATCTAATGTGGTTAAACAGCAAAAGCTACTGAGACTAGCCTGGAAATAAGATGCAGGTAAGAGCTAAGTGCAGCTTCTCCACAATGCCAGTAATTTGAAATAGGACTAGAACAGCAGGGAATACGGAAGACTCCATATTGCATAAGATTCTAAAATCAGGATTGGATGCCCTCAGATGTGCACGGCAGTCACCAAGTTGCCACGCTGAGTGCAGGGCTGGGAGGGACTGGGGGAAAGTTTGATGGTTGACTAAGCTGAGTGATCACAATGGTTGCAGCAGCTTCAGAACCGATCATCTGTGGTAAGAAAAGGTAGGCGTCTTGACTTTGAGTATCAAAGTCAAATGTAAATCGTTTGATTGAGAAATCAACCGATTGCTCTTTATTTAGATTAACTTTGGTCAGCAAGAAATGGATTTTCCATTGGTGTTTGGGTCTGTTCTTACATTTACTGACGGAGCCTTGATTCAGTATTTCAGTGTACTCTGAGCCGTAAGGACCAGTCTAGACTTAGTGCTTGTGATACTGTCCGAAGAAATAAAAGACTCACACCAGCCTTTTGTTTCCTTCAAGGTTCAAAGGGCAACCTGACCGAAGAAGAGGCTCCGTTAGGGCTCAGTCTTGCGATCACGGTCGTAAGCGTGATTCTGTCGGTGTATTTCCTGGTGTGGCAAACGTACGTGCTGAAAGCAGATGTCATTATAAACACTGTTCTCCTCTGTACCTACGGGCTTGAGTCAGTACTAAAGGTCACAGCCATTGCTGCTTTTGTCAGCTGAACCCTAGGAGTTTTCAACACATTTTGAACACATTCCTTCTATAAAAGTGTTTCTATTTCGAATCATTTAGTTCTTTTGTATATAAACATCCCATACAACTTTCCTCCGTTTAAAGTACAAATTTCTGAGGGGCAGAGATCCTGAGGGGCTGAATGGTAGGGAAAATATCCCGCCTAGCAGCTGTGTGACACTGTCTCACCAGCTAGCTTATTTATGGGCAAAGGCAAGCGATGATTCAGCAAAAACACTTCATGCCCTGGTATTCATCAGGGATCGATGCTAAACATTCATTCCCAACACAGAACAGTCACCAGTGCCTCATCAAGCTCCCTGCCGTTGAGATTACAGGAGTTTTCATGGCCTAGCAGCAAGGTACAACCAAAGTGACACAGAAATGAATCAGGCCAATATCGTCTGGACTCATTTCTGCCGTACCACGTACACGTTCGTGTTTGAGGGCACAGTTTCTCTTCTGCTCTCCTTTGTGTTTTCAGACCCCAGTGGTAATTTCCCTGACTTTAGTAGGGCAGTACTGATTTATCCCATGAAAGAGTGGAATTGAGTTCTGCGCATAGCCAGAGAGCTGAGCTGCAGGGTTTGGGCAGCAGGTTCTGGCTGACGCAGAGGCCAAAGGCAGCCATGTGAGGCTATGTTTGTTTAAATGGGATTGCCTGAAGATGAGCATAAGTATTCACCATTCGCTCACCCTTCTGTCCTGTTGTCCTGGTTTGAGCTAAACAGAACTGATTTTCTATTAAGTGATTTTACTTTTCAGCTCAGTCTCTTTTAAGTGACTGAACTTGCTGAACACTGGCAGCATGTTTTCCCAGACAGCGCTGCTAGAAGATAAGCTCAAGGTCAGTCGTCTCATCCTGGGTGCTGTGTCTGCGCCTACGGGGGGAGAAGCAGACCCAAAACTGACCAACGAGGTATTGCATCCCACATACGTCATACTCGGTATAAAAACCGAGCGATCACGAGGGTCTCGTGCCTTTTTACCTGCCTTTGCCCTTTTTCCACCATTCCTTCCATCTCGACCCTTCCGTCCGTCTCGATCCTGCAGAGGCCGAGGCCTGAGCAGAATCCTGCTGCTGATCCTGATTTGTGTGTCCTGCATCAGCTCCCACTGCTGCTCAGTTTGGTCTGGGACTTTTCCAGTGCCCGGCTCTGCAGAGCCTCTGGTGATGTATTCGTCATTGGGGGGGAAGGGTGGGGAGAAGATTTTATATTGATTTTGTATATATATTTGTACATATCTGTGTATATTTCATTATTTCCTATTTACATTATTATCCTGTAGTATTAGTATTCTTGTTTCATTAAATCTGTTAGTTTATTTTCCAACCCATAAAGTCTCTCTCCCTTATTCTCTTTTCTCTTCCCTTCTGGGGAGGGGAGAGGGGTTAACAGAGAGCGTCTGGCCAGGATTTAGTGTGGCCAGCCCAGCCCTAAACCACGACACCTATTTAAAAGTCCAACATGATGTTATCACTTGTATTTATGTTAAACATGTTTATTTCCGTGATTCTGCGAAAACTACCACATTCAAACCTTGTCTTTTAAATTAAGAACTGTGCTCAGATTTTTTTTTTACTGTCTCAAAAATAAGTACGTATTAATGTAAAGCTTGGGGAGTTTGTGGGGGTTTTTGTACAAGCACGTTTTATATTCAGCATTTCCTATTTCTGTATTTATTTATTCAAATAAATAGTGGTTTAGATCTAAGAGGTGTTTGAAGTGCAGATCATCTTGTTCAGATCCTAGGCTAGAGCTGAGCTACACAAAGGAAGACTTGGGCGAGGCTGGATGCGTGCAAAAGCCTCTCCTGAGCCCGCTGCCACCGCTCCATGTAGGCCATTCTGCACTGGGAAAGGGCCCCTGAGTGCTGCACTCATTTACACTGCCCAGGCGCCGAAAATGCAGTGGTGCAGGCCCTGTATCACCTCAACTGCACGGCTGCTTGCTTTGCAGTGGTGGTAGCAGGGAACAAAAGACACTGAAGGTCCTGTGGAAGGGCCCGGTGTCACCCCTCGGTCCTACCTGCGGCAGCCCCCTCCAGGGCCAGGTAACACCAGCGTCTGCCTACACACAGGAGGTTCCACTGAAATTGGAGAAGAAACTTCTTCTCAGTGAGGGTGACAGAGCCCTGGCCCAGGCTGCCCAGAGAGGTTGTGGAGTCTCCTTCTCTGCAGACATTCAAAACCCGCCTGGACGCCTTCCTGTGTAACCTCATCTGGGTGTTCCTGCTCCAGCAGGGGGATTGGACTGGATGAGCTTTTGAGGTCCCTTCCAATCCCTAACGGTCTGCGATTCTGTGATTCTGCCCACGTTGCAGTGCCCAGCAGTCAAAATCAAAACACAGTTACAGGCACAAGTTCCCCTGGGCCAGATCCTGTGCAGTCGGTGGCACAACCAACCCTTGGTGATGAGCAGGAGATGAAGACCACGTAAAAGCAGCAGAACTGGGTGCTAAGGAGCAGCCAGGAAATGGAAAGACCAAATGTTTCTGTGCTTAATCTGCGTGAAGCAAACACCCATCTGTTTGTTCTTTCAAATTTACTTGGCATAATGGAATGTACCCATCACATACTTGTTATGAGGAGCGACAAACATCCTGAGCCGTGTCTACCCCAGTAATGACAAATGCATACCGAGCAAAACCCCTTTTCTGTATGCGTACAAATAAAAGCACATTGTTTTCCCTGGTGTTTACCCCTGTCTTACACAAAGGTCTGGCAATAGAAAGTCTGATGGGTTTTAAAGGAAATATTGCCAAGTTAATTCCTTTTTTTACCCACATGTAGGTGGTACAGCAGACAAGGTCACACACATTAACTTCAAGTTGTAGCCTCAGCTCTTTACCTCCCTTCCTTCTTGTGGTGCTCCCTACAAACAAAATAAATACCAAATATTAGCACAACTGGAGGGAGCAGAGACCCAGGGTGTACATTCAGGAGAGATTAATAAAGCTAGCGGGTGTTCCTGCCTGGAGGTGTTTGGCCCCACCACAGATCACCACCAGGGCTTCCAGCTGGCACCGACCTGGATTTGCACCCTCAAAAGCTCAGGACAGCTCTGTTTCAGTTTTCCACTTTAAGATAAAATTGTCCATGAACTTTTTTCTGACTAGATGGGCAGATACTGGGGTGCTTCTGCTGCTGACAGCCCCCCACTCTGTAATGAATGGAGAAGGCTGAAGAAGTCTGTAAGCTTCAGACAACTCCTTTGTCTCGGGCATTTCCAGGCTTTGAATGGGAATTGTCATTTATGCTGGGGGCCCTGATTTTGTGACAGCTTCTCTCCATGCCGAGCTGGTACAAAGACCCAAAGTGAATCAGGCCCTGACCTCCGAGAATTTCTCTAATCAGGAGCACCTTTCCAAGCTGTTCCCACTGTTCAGAGAAGCAGGGCACAGCGTAGTGAAGCCATTGATGACATTTGCCAGACATGAGACTGCTGGAGCTTTTAATTATGAGGCCCAGCCCTTCTGAAACAGGACAAGCAAGTTGGATGAAAACAGCATTAAAAATTTAGAGGAACACGTATTTTGAGGAGCTCGGTTTGGGTGGTGTTTACTCGTCAAGGAAGACGTCTTTGTTCTCAAGCCATCACAGGGATGTCTGCCGCCAACCTCATTTAAAAGCCTGATCCTGAGAGGCAAGTTAGCCACCTGGGTTTGCAAACTTGGAGACACAGACAGAGAGAGCTTTAGTGGTCCATGGCTTTTTTTGTGTTCCTCAGCAGGCAGAAACAACGTCCAGACCAAAGCCCAGCTGAAGCAGTACAGTTCTCCAGTGACCGCTGTATTTGTCACAGCACTAAAGGGCTTCAAGCCGTGGACGAAGGAGCAAGGCTGAACACACGTGCACATTTGGTTCCACATCTGGGAACCTTAAACATTAATGGCTTCTCCAACAGAATCCTGCCAACTCCCTGTCTGCATTCCAGGAAAGTCAGCCCAGCCCAGAGGTGCCCGTGGTAGCTGGTGCATTTCAGGGGGTCTGGGATCTCTCACACAAAACCTTTCAGCTGGCAAGGCTCACTGGGCTCTGGTGCCTTGGCCTGTATTAAAAACAGAGTGACCAGCAGGTCCAGGGAGGTGATCATCCCCCTGTACTCGGCACTGGTGAGGCCGCACCTCGCGTGCTGTGTTCAGTTCTGGGCCCCTCACTAGAAGAAGGATGTTGAGATTCTGGAGCGTGTTCAGAGAAGAGCCACAAGGATGGGGAGGGCTCTGGAGAACAAGCCTGATGAGGAGCGGCTGAGGGAACTGGGCTTGTTTAGCCTGGAGAAGAGAAGGCTGAGGGGAGACCTCATCACCACCTACAAGTGCCTCAAGGGAGGTTGTGGAGAGGTGGGTGCTGGTCTCTTCTCCCAGGTGATGAGGGATAGAACAAGGGGAAACGGCACCAAGCTGTGCCAAGGGAGGTTCAGGTCAGAGATAAGGAGGAAGTTCTTTACTGAGAGGGTCGTCAGGAGCTGGAACAGGCTGGGCCGGGGGGGGGTGGAGTCACCATCCCTGGATGTGTTTAAAGAGCGGGTAGATGAGGTACTTAAGGATATGATTTAGGGGGTAGACAGGAGCAGTTGGACGTGATGATCTCAGAGGGCTTTTCCAACCGAGAGATTCTGTGATTCTGTGATTCTGTGATTCTGTAGAACCAATCCCTGCCGGGCGGTGTGGCTGGCATTTGCTAAATGCTGCTGCTTCTAGCACTGGCCACACTTTCATGGTGCAACTGGGATCTCACCGGCATCACGGTGAGGAGGATGATGGGGCACTGCTTAGGTGCGTCACACCAAGTATCGGTTCACGTTCTGCCGTGTCAGAAGAGGTTGTCCTCCCGTCAAAAACCGAGCTGCCAAAATGGTAAGTCACGCGGGAACTGTCTCTCCCCTGGCCGTCCAGCTCCCCCGGCAGCATTCCTCCTGCGATAACACCCAGGGTGGTTTCCCTGTGCAGTGTCTGGACATGGGCCAGGGAGCAAGCTGAGAGCTAC